ATACACTTTTAGCCAACTGTTCCATATGTTTCCTGGTTGAAAAGACAAGAAAACAAGAGAAAATTGCTTTTTCCTAAAGATGCACAGCAGGAGAAACCACCAACATAGTGAAGAGACAACCCTGGTGTTGGAGAAAACGTTTTCCAACTGTTCTTCAGACAAAAGATTACCATCAAGAACATATAAAGAGGGCTGGCAAGATAGCTCAGCAGACTAAGCACAAGCTTAGGCAAGCACAGGGACCAGGGTTTGATGCCTGGCACCATATGCCTCACTGGCCCTTCCCCCAGGCACACTGAGCCAGCCACTGGGTCCTGGAGTGGTGGTGCATGCCTGTAATCCCAGCACTTGGGAGGCTGAAAACAGGAGGATAAATATGAGTCCAGGCTGCATTAGTGAGACCCTATACCAAATATATAAAAAAGAATATATAAAGAACCCCCCCTCAAAAAACAGACCTCTCAAACTTAAAGACCCAACAAAAATGGGCAATTGAGATGAGTACTAACTTTTCAGATGTATTTATTATTGTAAACACCCTACTAACCTGTTTTGAAAGTGTTTCATTGCTATTTTATTTTTTCTCATTAAAACGAATAAAAATTATGTAAACAAGAACTAGAAACATCAAATAAATATATGAAAAATGTTCAAATCACTGGTCATTTGAGAGTTGCAAATTAAAACAACTCTGAGATTCCATCTCACTCCAGAAAGAACAGCTACTATCAAGAAATCAACCAATAACAAATACTGCTGGGGCTGTGAGTAAAAGGAACACTTTTCCACTGTTGGTAGGAGTGCAGACTGATGTGACCATTGTGAAAATCAGTGTGCAGACTCAAAAAACTAGGACTAGAGGTTCCACTTGACACAGCCATTCCCAGCCTGGGTATCTTCCCAAAGGAATTTAAAGCATCATACCATGGAAATACATGCACACCTGTGTCTGTAGAGGCACAGCTTGTTTTCTTTTCTTTCCTCCTCCTCCCCCTCCTGCCCCTCCCTCCTCTTCCTCCTCTTCTTCCTCCTCCTGCTCCTCCTCCTCTCCCAGGGCCTGAACTCAGGACCTTGCACAGCCATCTCCCTAGCAGTGAAACAGTTTCTAATAGTCAAAACTTGGATATACAGTATTTTTATACAACAGAATAGTGCTCTGCCGTAAAGAAGGGTATGCACAGGACACGTTTTGGTGGTAGAAGCACCTTGAGATCCTACTCTTAAGTGAAATAAATCAGACACACAAGTGTAGATACCCCACTGTTTCTCCAGTGTGGGAAACCAAAAGTGTAAATGAGGACGAAAATGTACAACAGGTATTATAAAACAGGAAGGAAATGTTCAAACGGGGGGGGGGGGGTGCAAGGGAAAAGTAAAGAAAAAAGAGAAAAGACAAAAAGCACACACGTTTCTGTAAATAGGGAGGGGAGGAGAGCTTGAAGGAAGAGGTAGGGATATCAGGTACAGATACAAATTCTCTATGATGAATATGCTCATTCTGTATAATATATACCAATAAAATCTGATTTTAAAAGTAGGAGGAGGGAGCTGGGGAGATGGCTCAGTGGAATAAGCACAAGGGCCTGAGCACAATCCCTGGTTTCGCAAAAAAAATAAAATAAAATAAAAATAAAAAGTAGAAGGAACAACAACAAAAATCGGAGTCCGGCTGTCAGGGTCCCGGCTCCCGCCAGGGACAGGAAGCGGCGCACTGCCGGCGTCTCCTCCAGGGGGCGCCCAGAAGCCCCTCTAGCGGGAGTCCTCCGGAAGAGGAGGCGAAGTCCGCCCCTCGGTCCGCCGCTTCCGGCGCCCGGCGCTCAGGCCCCGCAGCCTGGGGCTGGGGTGGCGGGAGGGCGCGGCGGCGGGCCGGGG